GGGGGATTAAAAAAAATGATATACCAGTAAAGCTCTCAATGAAAGGTTATGAGAATCTAGGACGTAATCACCAGGAGAAAAGTATTTTATTCTATAGAAATCTTCGAACTAGCTCAGTAACAAAAACAGATTAAATGTCGCAAAGATGAGGTTTTTTTTTTAGTTTTCGTTCAGGAGATAAGCGGCAAAATTTTCTTACTTTACTGTTCTTCGCAAGCGGCAAGATACACTTCAAAATATCACAGAAATAAAAAGAAAGTGATCCATAGCTTACTTGGAAATAGAAACTGTTTTATTGTTTCAAAATCTTTCCTAAATAAACGCGTCAGTTTGGCGTGGATTGATAACTATTTTAATCAAAATGTTCAAGAATGTCTTTTTCAACGTGACTCTTATATAACATTTTTGTCACTCAAGTTTCGGTCACGCACTCCTCAAGTAAGGCTTCAAACAGTTCCACCAAACTCTAACTAAGTAGTTTCTGTTGTCAGCTCTTTATCATTTAGATACGAAAAGCAAAGCAATATTTTCTCGCCAAAGCGGACTACTGCAGTAAGTACCAAAGTCTAGTGTCTATCAGCGAATGTAGCTCTTTGCGTACGCGTTGTTTCATGACGAAATGTTCTTGCGTGACAACACTTTTCTGTAACAATATTCTTGTCACGCACTCCTTCAAAGGCAATTAAAGCTGCTTCTTTGTCCAACGAGAGGAAAACTCATCTCTGCACAATACTTCCCATATGAAGGCCGTAAACTATCCAGTGATTCACTCTCAAACACTTCAAGTATTTTAGAATTGTTTTCTTTTTTCCTCCTTTTGTTCCCTGAGTTCAATATTTCGTATAATTCTCACATCAGGGCACAACAGTCAACCTTAACTCGATTAATGTACTGTCTTTTTCGTGTTTCAAAATTCCAGTCTTTGAATCTCCTTTGTGTGTACGTTTTACGCCAAACCAAACCCTTCAGGGCACTCGTCCACTGCCTTGTTCAGCATGGACCGTAACTTGTCGTACGTCTCGTAGGCTGGGAGATCCAGCTGGTTAAAGCTGAGAAAAAAAAAAAATCAACGACAACCATAAAATCCTCGATTCCGAAGACTGAGCAAAATAAGGCTATACCTTGCCTTCAGTACGGGGAATTCTTTTATTTTTCATTGTTTGAACGGTCCTCTACTACCCCTGTGAAAACGCGTTGTCTCAGTGAACAATCGCGAGTTTGCCACGCTATCTCCCTCTTTCTTGTAAGACACCTGTACTGCAAGCTAAAACTAAGCCGAACAATATGTGTAACATGTTCCGTATACAATGGAAAGATAAAATCAACCTACACGAAGTATGCAACATAGATAAGTGAAATTCATATTCTGAAATCATTCTATCCACGACACCTCGACGACAACTTCGAAAGAATTTTTTATCGTAGCATACAACATATCTCTTAAAATATACTGTAAAGAAATGGGACGAGGAAAAGCTCACCATGTCTGCGCAGACGGTAACCTGTCCGTAGACCGATCGTCGCGATGAATCTGGAACTTTTGGAATCCATTCATCCCCTCCAAGGCACCAAAACCCTGCAAAGGAACCTTGCTTGTCCCTGTGACAAACTGAAGGAATTTTGCTCGGTCCGCCTGGTCAAACGAACGTAAGGCTCTCCAAAACCACTGGATCTGCGATAGAGAATATCAAAGAAATCAGTTTTCGAAGGTTTCAGATGGGGAATTATTCGTCCCTTTGGTGAGGAAAACAAACACAGAAGATTTACTATGAACCTCGAGTAAGGCATCAGACAAGATACTAGAAAAAGTGTCCCAAAATAGGTTCCATAAGGTAAGGGTCTCAGATGCAGGGGACCTACGATGAACCTTGCCTGAGGGGACACAATCAGGAAAAAAAAAGTGTCCCTTAATTGGGTCTCCTTTCAGTGGGGGAGGGGGGGGGGAGAGGAAACAGATATGAAGTTTTACGATGAGACTCGACTTATTGAACTACAACACATGAAAGTTAGTAATAGACGTTTCGTACCTGTAATGAGTTCTCCGTGTATTTGTGGTATTCAGTGTTCGCTTTCAAGTCATCCAAGTCAATGTTTGGAAGGCCGGAAATCAACAACTCGAGTTCTTGTTCATCGAAGATAGAAATCAGACGTTTAGGAATGATGTCGTAGAAACCCTCCAGGAAGGAGTCAAGCTGGTTCCTGATTGCTCCGGTCATTTTCATTTGACACACTCTTTGTACGTACTCTTTCTTATTTTCTTCCGTTACAGCGATGTTCTTGCCGTTCTTAACCAGTTCGCGGACTTCTGACAAACCGAATTCGTGGACCTAGTAGAAGATTTTAGAGTTAAGAAGTCGAAGACAATTTCCCCCTAGCCGACAATTCAATTATATCCGATAGTTTCTAATTTCAAGGATACCTAGTTGTTGAAATGCCATGTAACACTTGAGAGATTTCACGATGAATAAATTTTATAGTCTTGATGACCCGGACGGTCACGAGGAGCTACCGGCAATCGCCGAAGATGTCTAAGGCGTCACGCTATCACACCCAAAGATAATTCGACTTCAATGGTAGCCCAGGGACACTCCCACAAACAACGTTGCCAATCTTATGCAGGAGTTCATAAGTACAAAAAAAAAAAAAAAAAAAAATGGATTGAATCTCCGAATAGATTTTAAGTTCTTATTCAATTCAATGTTTAGACAGTTAAAACCACTTAGACCCTCTTAGAAACATTAAAAAGCCGTTGAGATTCTATATTCGATAGCTTTCCGTCCCCTTGAAATCTTCCAGGTTTCATTCTCAAGAAAAACGTATTGGGGTTCTAAAGTAATTTACAAATGCGTGTCGAAAGCAATACGGGGTTGCATTGATTTTACTTCGATTCGTTTAGTGACCGGTCCAGAAAATTCGCCGCATTCTCTAAACCATTCAGATGCAAAGGTAAACCACTTACGACTTGGTCACTCCGCTTTATGATTGGTCCAGAAAAATGGCACCATTCTCTTAGCCAATCACATACAAAGGTAAACCATTTGGGACTAAGTCACTGGCGTTTTCCCGCGCGTGAGAGCGGTTACCAAATTACTTTTGAGTTCTCAGTGGCTCGTTGTGACGCTAACCTTTGTTCTGGTTAGGCGTTGTGGTCAAATTAGATTTAGCTTTGCGAGAAAAAATGCGCTGTATAATACGTGCGTTACCTCAGTACTGAATGTGAGCTCCATGTCGATATCACTGATGTCGTGTTCCAGCAAGTAATGCAGACCCTGATACAGAGCGTAGTCGAACGACTCCAAGTCCGTGAAGTGCACAGGTTTGTCCAAGATGTGCTTGTAAAAAGACCGCGTGAAGAAACAATCCAACAGCTTGTTGTCGTAAATCGCCTTAGCCACGATCCTGCCGACGAACTTAAAGTAACTCAGATGGTTGGAGTTGCAGTTGGAACTGGCGTTTGGTTGATACGTTACTCTGTCCCCTGGGGAGGTCGTGAAAAGGGCGTAATTTGGGTTGAACATCTCCCGGGACATGATCACGAACCATTCCCTCAGAAGTCCTCCGGCATCTTGTCCTTCCTCGCCTTCGAACACTACATACAGTCGGCTCTTCATCTCGTCTGCACTTCGCCGGTGAAGCTCTCGGTACGAGTCCTCGAACACGTGTTCGCGTCGGACGTGGATCGTGAGGTCGTCTCGTCGGATTCCTTCGTCGAGTCGTTCGAGCTCTTGACGGAAGAAACGACGTTTGACGTCAAAGTCGAGCACTCGTGTATGATCAACTAAAACCGCGAACGGACCGTCGGCGAGGTGAATAGTGGATTGACGTAGGATTTGGTTCAACACAGTACGGTGCTTTTCTGTAAATAATAATAATAAAAAAAAATGCTTGTTTTGAGGTTCGTGCGCATTTTCCTCACGAAATTAACGACTTTTTCCATTTACTGTAGAGTAGTTGGTGCGAGAAACCGAAAGACAAAATTTTAAACCCCTTTGTACAGGGTACTTACACTTTTTCAGGAACCTAATTCAAGGACTTTCAAGGACTTTATTGGTCATTTTCAAGGGCATTCGCTCTCAGATTCAAGGACATTTTGCATTAAGTAGGAACAAACAGAAATAAAAAACATTGCTCTTTATCACGTGTCAGACCTCACAATCGGACGCGGGACTTGAAGGAAAAACTCTATTTCGCGATTTGCGCCAGAAACTTACACTTTCAAAACCAAAAATAAAAGAAAACTTCGACTCATCTGCACTTATATTCAAGGACTTTTTGGAGTTTTTCAAGGACCTGAGACTAAATTCGAGGGTTTTTAAGTCCTTGAAAACAAAATTAAATTCGAGGACTTTCAAGGAGCGCGGGAACCCTGTACGTATACCTTTGGCGACGATTTTCATCCTCTACCAATGTCTAATGAAGTGTAAATTCTCCCCCTTTAGTGGAAATCTAGATTCAACACGAACTCTGTCTTACTTCATGCAATGAACCCAGTTTCCTTACCAGCGAATCTAAGGAACTTCTGTGTGTCTGATGGCAAATCTGACGTCACAGACGTGACTGACATCTGTCGGTTTGGACTCAAGGGGCCCGGGGATAGAGGTCCGGGGGAGGCAGGCATAACTTCTGTGCTCAATGATGATAAGCGTTGACTGGAGCGCGGTTGTTCGCTTTGGCTTTGAGTCGAGGTGTTCTCCTACAAAGATAAGGGAGGAAGAAAATTGTCTCTTACTTTTAACTTTTGCAGCCTTACACCAGTATTGATATTCTACAGACAGTTTTCTTTGCATTTCCTCTTATACTGACAAAGAGGAGCTTCCTAAATTGGTGATCATTTCCTTCATTCTCGTGACCTTTACATTTGTTTCTAGGGTGATACCGTTAGGAGAAATTAGAAACCAGTCACTCTTACGGGTCAAAGCGTGCTCACCGCCCCCCCTCCCAAAAAAAAAAATACTTACGATGACCAGAAAATTTCCGACACCAGTTTTTGTTTGTTTGTTTGTTTGTTTTTTTAAGAACATGAGGGCACGCAAAACGAGCGAAGAACGGAGATCGGCAGGAGCTCAACTGCGACAAATTTCTTCACCACTAAGTTTGTTCGTAGAAGGGCGTACAAATTTTGAAATAATAAAGATCTCTTGCTGCATACCGAATGGCTGTGCTTACACACTGAGAATTCAACTGGTGAGATCACTTTTTTCCCTGATTAAGCCTCCACACGCAAATCGACTGAAACACGATCTGGTAAGGGCGAGTGGTTCAAGCAAGAAAACGTAGGTAACAAAAAAAAAAACAAACCACTTGTACTGGAGGGTAGGACGTAATTTTCGGCGGGATGGTTTTGGCCAAAAATGTCAAAGTAATTAAGATTTTTGTAACGGTGACAATTTTAGGCTTTTGTTTTGAGCAAAGTGCCATAAATGCAGCAATCACCTGTTTTTCTGTACCGTGGACAAGGAAGAAAGCCTCAACTGCAGGCTGCAGTACCAGCACAGCGTGACTGTCGGACGTTCGGCCCAACTCCGCCAAGCATTCGCCTAACGTCTCCCAAAGCTCCTCTAGGGTAATCTGCTCGCTCAGTAGCGGTAATTCGGGTTTGTTTGTACCTCCTGATGTCGACGAACCTGGTGAATGGTCGATAAATGTTAGTTGTCCTTGTAAATACGCTTATGTTGCAAGGGATATTTTCTAAATAACTTGGCTACTTTATCTACAAAAGGAATTTTTTTTTTTTTAACAATTTCCGCCCCTCTTTTTCAACACATCAACACAACTCACCTTCCCCCTCCTGACCACTCCCGTCAGGTCGGTTTCCATCTTGACTCCTCTCTCCCTGAGGCGCCGGTTCATTCCGCGGTCCACCAGCCCTCGCTTGATCGCCTTGGTGTTCGGAGCGCAGAGCACGCATGTGCGAGAATGCTTCAAAGATGGCTTCCGCCTCGTTTTCTATGGCGGCTATTACAGCACCCAGACCACGTGATCCTTGTACGAGGCGCTGTACTACTGAACTCTCATCTGCGACTAGAATTCGAAATAAACTGTCTTACAATACGGGCACATTACGGGACGTTGCCGTATTTCAACCGAATGTATCGTCTTGATTGTCAGTGAGTTCTTAGTGACGTAGAGGGCAAAGCACTTGGCTGGAAAACTTCGAACTGGCTTGGATTTAAATCTTCCCCGGTAAACTGGGAGTTTCCCGCTCGTAGCAAATGATATCCTAACACTGCCAACATCAAAACATTCACTCTCCGCACTGCTCGTCATATATTTGTAATCATCTCAGCCGTAAGAATTTGGTGGGTAACCCTTTTACTCCAAGATCTCATTATTAATTCTCCTTGCTGTCTGCGATACAAATCTTACGATGATAGTTTGGAGAATTTAGTTATTGGATCGACAAATAATGCCCTTATCGATAATTTCTTTATACGCATCACTTTTCTGCTTGATATTGTGCTGATATTGTAAGGAGAAATTCTGTCTTGATCACCCATGGGAGTTAAAGAGCTAAGTCAGACATGATCCCCTATTAGATGTTGTTTTGTTTTGTTTTTGTTTTTCTCATCATACCTATGGACGAAAATTGAGGTCACATTCGAAGGCTAAAAAAGAGGTCATCCTGGGAGTAAAAAGAGTCAACGGTTTTTTTTACCTTTATTTGCAACACAGATATTTGAAAACAAAAGAGTGCAAACTCACCCCTCCTCTGTGTGCTTCTTGTTCTTGCCGACGTCGTCCCAGATGCAGTCTTCCTTGCCGCTTCTCTCAGCTGAAGAATCACTTTAAGAACTCTAAGTAGAAGTGCCTGACTGGAAGTCTTGCAAGTTAGAGCCGGCATGGACGGCAGATGAAGATCGTACCGCACTTGTCTGTTTTGCTGCCTGCCCCTTGAGCCAGCAGGCATCGTCGCCCAGCCAGATTGGTGACCGCCCCTTGTTGGCCTCCGAGGAGCACTGGGGAGTACTAGAGAGGCCGGTCTCTTGCCTATGAATAAAAAGTAGTAAAATAATAATCTGTCTACCGAAAAAAAAAATCCTGCGACTGTAGGGATTGAGGCATGCAACGTTTGCAAAAAATAGAGCTTGATCCCTGCGTTGTTGCACTATGAAGACAGAATTTCAAGTCATAGCTATTGCGTAGAGGAGCGAATGACATCCATAGAGGTCTGGAACGATCCTTATTCACCTATCTCGGACTAAGCTCTCATTTCTCGTTCAATTGAATCGAAAAATATAAACAACATTTTACCTTTTTTAAGGTCAGATTCGTCCTTCTGTGGAGCATTCCTATTATGTTCAACTAATTCACTTAGCAGCAGAGCTATGTTCTCTTGCAATGTCTGTCCAATTCGGCGAGCTCCCTCCAATAAAAGCTGTAATACACTGTCACGAGTTTGCGAGTTCAGACGAGAGACTTGGAGCAGAAGTGTGGTCGCATCCTCGAGCCCTTCTTCCGAGCACATCCCAGAGGTAAGTACGTTAACTACCAGCCGTAACTCGCCTTCCTTCACTATGGACGTTTTCTGATCTGGAATCTCCTTCCCCACGGACTCTGCCTCTACCACAGCTGTCGAAGTTGTCAGAAGTGAGCTTTCTTCATTAGAAGCCAGTGCATGCGGGCCAAGAGGAGGTGTCACCTCGACTATCATGGGCTCCGCCACCCCTGGATGGGAGGATGCCTCGCTGGGGTGGGACAGCAGCTCGTCAACAGACCCACCGTCGAGTGATTCAACCTCATGTGGTTCGCCTCCGGCTTCAGACGAGCGCTCAACGATCAATGACGAAGCCACTGACTCAGTTTCTGAGCAGGGTGTATCAACAGTCACATGATGAGGCGTTACGCTCTCCTCTGGAATTGTCACAGTCACATTTGTCACGGCTTCTGTGGAAATCATAGATTGCGTGACCGGTTCTCCTGTTGGTGCCTGCGTTGTAGTTTCAGCAGGGTCTGCTTCAGTAGCCGCAGTTTCGCAGCCTTCAGATTTTCTGCTTGATTTCACGGGCAAGTCCGGGAGCGCCGCAGACGTTACTGATAACAACCGCAAAAGCTTGTCTGTCACTACCACGCTTCCTTGTACAACAGGTTCATCAAGGGCACCTAAGAGCTGTCCGATGGGCGACAAAGAAAACTCCTCTAAAGGCGAATCTTTCGTCGAAGATAAACTACTTTGACTCGCACTTGTTTTCGCTGCACTTTTCCCTTTTCTTCCGCTTCCAGCGGTATCAAGTTTAAGCAAGATATCCCAAAAGTCTGTGCTGTCTTGGGAGGCAGTGCCTGCCGCTTTCCCCTCTGTCGACGAACTATCATCTTTGCTACATGATGGATGCAGTTTTGCAGCCGATTGAAACGGAGCAAAACTAGCAGGAAAGCTTTTCGCTAAGAACAATAACGCGTCGAGCACATGCTTACAAACAAATTGCGAGGCTTGAGGGTGTATGCTGACGTGTGTGCTGCGTTCTAGTCCAGCTTTTCCTTGCCGCTTAATGGCAAAAACATTTGCCCGTGATCCTAAAGATGTGCGCAAACCGAATGACAACCATGAATGTTGCTTCGACGCTTTAGGATCAGAAGAAGACTGCTCCCGAGTGAGTAGGTACTCATCGAGTCTACCTGGACTCTCAGTTCTGACGGGCTCGGACATCGACGAAGACGACACCTCCGCGTGCGATGAACTCTCTACGTAAGGAACAGGGCAAGAACCGTCTGAGGTTTGCCCACTAGTTCTCCTAAGAATCGAAATCATGGCACTTATCAGCCATGTTCGAGTTTCCTCGTGATAGCACAGATTTCTAAGCACTTTGTGCAAACGTCCAGTATTTAGACGAGGTTCCTCCACGAAGAGAAGCACCAGAAGGCACACCAGAGCCTCGTGATCCAATAAATGACGTCCAACTATCTTACGGTTTGGGGGAGGGAGGTACGACGGACCGTTTGAAAACCCTGTGCCCCTGCTACTAAGCCCTCCCCCCGTGGGAAGCAGCCTGGCAAAATGGGACCCTCCCCCGTGGCGTGACAGGGCGGAGTGACGCAATAGAGCAGAAATCGCCGAAGCTCTGTCTCCACTTCCGAAGTTAAAACGCTCCTGCAGCAGCCTGTGGTGCCTGGCATCTATTTCTCTCCGGAGGGTCTGGGCTTCGGAGGCTAAGTCAGTCGGTAGTAAAGGAAGAAGAGAGTCGTCAATGTCTGCCAAAACTGTTTGCCGCAGGGAGGGGGCTAGGTTACGAAGGAAAGAACCCGGATCAACAGCTTGCTCAGGAGTGGCGGTTTGGATGCGTCGTCTTTCTTGTTCAATGCGTTGCTGCTGAAGGACCTGGAGAAAGAAGTTAACTCAGACCCCTAAGAATGACCAGGATCTAATTTCTCCTAACAATATCACCCCTGAATTGCATATTACAGTCACCAGAAAAAAAGTAAATGATCACCAACTACAGCAGTGGCTAGTGATATCTTAGATGTTACGACAATTTCAGTTTGTTTACTAGCCAAACCAGACTTTCTTCTAGTCTGTGGCTAGTTGGTCACCGTTAGTGTCGAGCCCTGCAAGTTCAAGATTGTCAACCAATTTCTATTTGTCAGTACCGTTCGAAATGACTGTACACAATGACTAAACAGTGTTCTCCTTTTCCGGCGATAACTGGTAAAATTTCACCGCGAGTAATTCCTCTTAATACCGCCTAAAATCCCTTTGAATTTTTCAAAATTGAGCAGGTAAAAGGATTGCTCTACCTATTCGGAAAAAGTTTTTAATTGTCGTGCTCAAAATAAGGGATAACACTGACTTTAAATGCTGGCATAAACAAAAAGGGAGCCACCGAAAATAAACAACCTAAATTATCCCTTCAAACCGAACACCAACACTGCATTAAACAAAGGGAAATATAACGCTACAAAACACCGAAGTAAATTGATGTCTTTTTTTCCCTCAGCGCTCATGATCCGCCTGCCAAGCATATATACATTACGTCCGTTTGCAATAAATAAATTCTGCAAGATTTAACCAGCGAAAGAAAGCAATGTTGTAACACGGAAATAGGCGACAATACGGCTTTACTGTGGGAATTGTGTAATGCAGTGTAGCTATGCAGTAATTGCGGTCGAATATAATAGGTTTATTTTGTCTTAGCCACATCGGATATGGCTAAGAAATCGCGAAATTCAGCTTGTTAGAAAATTAAAGTAAGAGTAGAATTGCTAGGTTTTCATTCCCAGGAGACAAGCAGACTCACCTCTTCTTGGACATCAGGAGGCAAAGCTGCCAGAAACTCAGGGCTCACATTGAGGTCAGTGTTTCCCTCATTTCCCTCGGCTGGCGCAGTGTTCCTCTGTGAGGCTGGAGGGGGATGCAAGCCTAACTGCTCAGCAAGCACCTCGCGCCGAATGGCCTCTGGTAAGGCTTCCAGGAACGAAGGATCTACTCCGTCAGGAATCGGGATCCCATCTATTGTTAAAGCCGCAGCTTCCCCGCTAGTTCCCGGCTCCTCCGCATCTGCTGCAGGCCCAGCTTCTGCTTCTGCCTCTGCTGTTGGCATGGTAACGACGGCTTGGGATGGTTCTGTAAGGTCAGCTGAGTGAGTAAAGTAGTCTAGATTTAACCCCATGACCCCTTAAAGGGACCAGCATCTAATTTCTCCAAACTATATCAGCCCTGAATCTCACACAACGATCACGAGAACAAAGGACATGATCGAGAACTAAAAACAGGTATTTGTTATTAAACAAATTCTCCTCGTCACCACCCTCGGAAATGTATGGAAAACAGTGTAGAGAATATGCACGCTAATGTCCTTATGTCAATGGTTAAGCTTTCAAAAACAACCACAAAAGAAGCTCAATACCTTAAAGTGCCACTACGACGAAAATTTTTGTCTTTGGTTTGACAATTTTTTAGCGCCAATCAAGTTAATATGGTTAGAATTGTACTATGCGATAGTTTTTAGGTCGATGGAAGCGAAATACGCCTTGATATAGCTGGCCGAAATTCACGAAAAACCCGCCCGCAATTACTCAGCTCGCAAACCGAGAGCCAGCGACTGAACTGAAAAGCGGTTTACGCATGAGTTGGCCAGTGACGTCATATGCACACTTTCGCATCGTGCCTCGTGTGTTGTGAGGGATTCCACAGTGAAAATTCTAGGCGTTTTATAAGATGTATTCTTCCTTGAATTCTTCTTCCAAATGGCCTACAAATTTAGCCACGTTTTATAGGTCGAGCTGCGCATCTGACGTCACTTCCGAAAGGCTCCAACTAGTGCCAACTCTTTTTGCCACACTCGGCCATTTTTTAATTGAGTAATGGCGGGCGACCAAAAACGAAAACAAGGTTGAAATAATCATACTTCCCGTGAGAATTTTGCGATTAAACTTGGCATGGTAAGTGTTTCTTACGTCTAGTTCCCAGAAGCGAAAAGAAAAGGCAATGCAAAGTTTTGATCATAGTGGCACTTTAACACTATAAGTACTTTTGCTACCCAACTGTACAAAGAGTACAAATACCACACGAATAGAGTACAAACATACTACGATATTGTACAGTTGGTTATTTTGTACTGTAAAAAAACCCTGTTTATAGATCGGCTATGCACGCTACCTGCTTTGCTTTTCCTGCCTTATGAGAAATGAGCAGAAACACTTGGCAAAAAAATAATAAAAAAAAAACCGTTGCACAATAAACAACTTACATAGTATTTTTACTCGTTGCTTGTATTTTAACTCGCCGTAGGGTTCGTCAAAATACAGCACAACTCGTAAAATAATCAGCGATACTACACACCGAAACGTCTAATAAGATATATACTGCGAACAGATCTTTGTCAATACTTACCGCTTGGGGCTGTAGTCGTCCCTTCTTCTTCAAGAGCCATGGGAGAAGAATCGCTCTCCTGCTGTACAGCCTGTTGTTCTGTGCTTTCAGCTTCAGTAACTGAACCCGGACGGCTCTCGATAGCTGATGTGGCAGCCTCCCCTGCAGTTCTTACACCGGCGACTTCTGCTGTGGCTGCACTGATGATATCTTGAACAATGGAACTGGCTGGCGTAGCCGGTACTACGGCGGGAGACACAGAAGAGGCATGCTCTTCACTTTCATTGACGGGGGTAGAAGTTCTTACCATCGCTTCATCGCTGGATGATGCAGGTGCCTCAGCAGAAGGTTCATCCATGTACATTCGTATTAGCATAGATGCATCTTCTGTGGGTGTCGGCTCAGACGGTGTAGCTTCAGCCTCCCTTACTGTATCCACTGACTGCTGCTCAACCTGCATCACTTCACTCTGTGCTTCAAATGCACCCTTTGCCTCTCCTTCTGCAGACGTACCCTGTCCCTCCACAGCTGTTGATGACTCTCCACCACTTTCTTTTTTGCCTTGCTTCTTTTTCTCTTCCTCCTCCTTCTTGGTAGCGGCTGCTTTTGCCTGGGCCTCTGCCTTCTTCTTCTGCTCTTCCTCCCTACCTTTGGCGATTTCTTCAGCTTGGTATTTCAGCAAGACGGGCAAGATTTCAGGCTTGACCGCAGCTACGCAGTAATGAACGCCTTGTGCGTCCAAAATCTGGCCTTCTTCTGCCCAGCGAGTTAAAGCAGATGGTACTGAAGACGCAGCACCCTCATTGAAGTTTTCAAAGAAGATCTCATCTGGTCCGCCATCTTCAGTGGTTCTTGCAATAACTTGTATCTCATCTTGAACCAAATGCCTGCCTCGGTGGCTTACACCTGCAAAGGAAATAATTCTTATTCACCTGTCGTTACTCGACTCAATTGAACGTCACTGTCTGTTAGTGATACGAATTTTCTGGTGTAGTTAGCGGACATAACCCGAGAAAATGTCAACAAATGACCCTGCATCGAGAATGGTAAGCCCATTACCATCCATTCACCGACGTAACAGGGTGGTGAGAACGGAGAAAGAAGCGTAAACAGCTAATTGGCGATTTTATTTCTGTAATTGTACACGTGTACAATTACAGCTTTTCTTAAGGCTGGAAGTCCTTGTCAATGCCGCAGTTTATAAAATAACACCTGACTGACACACAGACTCCTTGTTGCCGTTTGTCTGTTCGGTAACGGTACATGTGACGTCACAATATGGAAAGAAAAAAATTTCAAAAAAGCACGCGAGGCGTTGCCGTGTGTGTCACCAATGCACCAGATGCACAGATGATTCACATTTTCCTATAAATCGAGCTAGAATTAGAGTATTGTATGAGCGTTATGCCTTGCTTGCTCTTGCTCTTTACCATCCGAATGAACGTTATTTCGCCCATAAGCCAAATAATACACATGTCTGAGTATTGCAGCTACAACTTAAGGGAAAAAAAGATAAAAGGGAACTACTATAACTCAACACTTACTAGTGTTAAACTGCAGTCCATCGGAAGTCTCCGGCCCAAGGAGATTCTGAATAACAGCAGGTAGAGGAGGTTGAGTCACGCCTTGAGGATGCGATGAATGGACCGACTGTGACTGGTGGGTGTGGTGCCTGGGGGTCACGCGGAGGCCGTGTACACGAGACAGCCGCTGTGCCATGCTGGATATTGTCTCGGGTTCATCATCCTGGGACATGGTCATCATGAACGTGCCTGCAAATCTGTTGCCATGAGGACCACTCACAAACTCCAGATGACGACCTAAACAACACCAAGACACAAAAGATGTTTTTTCTAGGATTCACTCTAAAATACTTCGCTGCACATAAACTAATTGACTAACAGAGATTCGTTAGAAATATGTCAGAAACTTGTATCTGGTATATCACTGACCCGAACCTTCATCGAAGGGGAGGTAGACTGCATCTTCCTCGTAGATTCTGAAGGAGTCGTCTCCTATCATGTCAGCGCCATCTTCATCCATGTCGCTGCCACCCTCATCCTCATCCTGGTCATCGTCGTCTTCTTCTCCCTCTTCCTCCATCACATCAACTCCACTGGATTCCTCCATCACTCCACCCTCTCTGGCACCGATACCACCTAAAGAATACAACAATTTTCCGATGGGCGTCGATGGCAATTTTAGATTGCGTTGATTTTATTTCACCTCGCTCTGTGAAATTTTTACTTCACTTCTGCAAATTTTCAACCAATCCGATGCTAACCTAAAGCCATTCGCAACTCAGTCGTTGACGTTTTTCCCGCGCTTCGGGCAGTTTTACTTCTCTTCGGTCTGTGATGGTCTAGAAAAGTATACGTTAAATTTATAACCAATCAGACGCAAAACTAAAACTAACTGTAACTTCGTCATTCGCGTTTTGATGCGCTTTAGTCAGTATCCTGGTTTTTACAACAGGTTCCAACCGACTCCGATAGTCTCCTTTGTTATAATCGGCCGCTCAATTAATTTAGCTTTAGTTCTACGAAACTCAGTCGAAAAACGATCTACACGAAACTAACTGATACTCAGTTTTTATCACAGCGAAACAAAAACAAACTGATTGGTTTCAAAATATGGTGTTCCATGTTGTCTATAAACTTTTCATCGTTTATCTTCTTTAGACTTACAGACGGTTACGAAACCGTAGCATAAAAACTTCCCACAACTCCTCTAACGTTTTCCACGTGAAAACTGCGACAAAAAGGCAAAAAGGTTGCAGATACTTCTCAGCCCGTTTGCTTGTTCCTCTGTAAGTCCATCTGCGCAATTTCAGCGTAGCTTTCTAGCCAACATTTTCAATTCGTGCTAACTCCTTTCTTATTATGACTGCACAAAACCAATACAGTGACGAAAAACCAATCCAAAGTAATTAATCACAAGAAAGGTTTACATTATCATTAGCCAATGAGAACTCAAAGTGAAAGACAAGCAAACTGCTTGAAGGGCGGGAAAACGCAAATAACCTAAAGGGCGGCAAAACGCAAATAACCTAGATTGTTTTTAGTTTTGTATCTGATTAGTTACGAGCATGGTGCGAGTTTTTTTTTGGACCAATCACAGAACGAAGGTGAGCAAAACCAAAGTAGTCCCGGATTTACTATATCTGGCGAAGTCGAATCATTCCTTCACAGCATCCGACCAGTATCGTAGCAAAGGACACGCGAGTGAGAACACTGTTGAACGTGAAAACAAAGATTTGCTCGAATCAACAAACCTCCTGTGTTGTTCCCCATGCTGATTTCTTCCTCGTCCTCGTCGTCATCTTCATCGTCATCATCATCATCATCATCGTCGTCGTCATCGGCTAAGTCATCATCATCGTGATCCTCATCATCATTATTACCAGTCGGTTCTTCAAAAGTGATCACCATAGTTTCATCATCGTCTCCTCCTCCGCCATCTTCCTCTCCCTCTCCTTCGTCCGTGTCGTCAGCCACCCCTTCCCCGCCGCTGTCCTCGCCATTCGAGGAGCTGTGGTCGTCATCGTCACTGTCACTGGTGTTGGGGTCGATCACATAGGTGGTCTCCTCTACCACGCGGCCGTCAGCCATACGACGGGTCATCACATGTTCGGCAATAACGCCACTGTCCATGTCTGAGTAATGTGATTAAAGATAATTACAATTTTGTATAAATTTCTTTTTTGTCGGCACACAAGAGGTAGCCTGTGTACAGCCGCCCCATCCCCTCAAAAAAATCGGGGAGGGAGCGTCTGTGATTTACCGTTGCCAATTGTGTATGGGAATAACCTTGCATAAATTAAAAAAATGGTTTCCGCTGACCAAAATTTTCGTGGTGTCTCAACTCATTCCGATTTTCAACTTGACGGTCAATGTGACTACTTTTCATCGATCAATTGAGAGTGTTTGCGACCTTTTTAAAAATGCTTCACTCTATACCGAGGAAAAAATGTCTTCAAGCACTTTTTGAAGGAAAAGACGTGTATGCAAGTCTTCCCACTGGATACGGGAAATCATTAATCTTGTGGGGAATTAGTGAGGGGCCCACACTATCACTGTTCTCTTCCAGAATTTATTTTCAAAAAGCAGACAGAACAATATTACACGAGGTCTCTTACCGACCATAAAACTACTCGCACTGGTTTTCTTATATCATGAACACACCTCGATGAAGACGTAAGTTGATTGGCTTTAAAGTCCTTCCCAACAGAGATAAACAATCTGATTTATCGGAGCAGATAGATCGTGACACTCGATTTCCGGCAGATAATTTTGAATCGTTACAATACAAAATATCCTGTTTCCGACAATCTTTTATGCTACCCCAATCGTCGCCGATGAGCTGTTCTCGCGTCCACGTGGCAGTAGTAAAATAATTGTGATTTCACCGCTTCAAACGTGATGGTTGAACAAGGAGTAGGATTCGCTTTAACGGGTGACAGGAAAACGGAAGAAGAAGAAGATTTCGAGCTGATAATCTTTCGAATCGTAGACTTCACAACACAAAGATTCGTCAGAAGAGCTCTTTGTTTCTTTAAAGTCGACAGGCAATTTATGAAAATGTAAGCGGAATCTATAGACAGTTTACACTCCAGCGACTCCTCCCAGACGTTAAAACTCGAGCTGGGTTAGTCAACGAGATTTTTATCTGAATTCTGAACGAAGTTTTTCCCACAAACACACAAAAACTCATCGCTAATTCGCGCACATGTTATTGTGAGAGCAATGTGTACTTTGAGACAAGGCTTCACATTTCAGAGGTCAATTCCTGCGAAACTGATAACCAATCGAAACCCTTGGTTCACATGATGTAGTGATCTACGAGTGACAGCCAATGAGATCATTTTCCGCACATTCCGGGAAAAATCACGCGGTCCCCATACACGATTAGCAACTGTAAATCACAGACGCTCCCTCCCCGAATTTTTTTGAGGAGATGGGGCGGCTGTATACAGGCTAACAAGAGGATCAGGTTAGCAAAGAGTTTCAGGATTACAGTTTGTAATTTGCGGTCTTTAACAAAGTGACACACTTCGTTATGTGGGGCTGACACTTCGTTTTCGTTCTTCTTGGTTTTCTTTTTTATCCTATGCCTTCTTGCGGAAAGATTATCGGTATAGTTTATCTACGAAAGCAAGTCTTTAAAGTAGGATACCCTTAAAAAACCGAAGGGCAAGGGGGGTAATTAAGGTTAGGAGCAGGGGGGCATCTGGTTTTGACAACAGGGTGTACTTTGACACAGGGGAATACTCCCACCCCCCTACCCCTCAAAAGGTGGGACCGCCTCTAGCTTTGGCCAAGATCTTCTAATCCAAAGATTTAGAATTCACAAAGTGGCTTGGAGTAGTAAACCTACTGGGAGGAACGAACGAAAGTAAAAGAGTCTCCCATAAGAAAATCTCACCTTGCCCTGTCTGGCCTTCGTTACTATCTGAGTGCAGTAATTCGTCCACCATATCCTGCAGTTCTTCAAGTTCCTCTTCTGAAGCCATAGGAATAATTGACCTGCCGGAGATTTCAGCGAGTCCCCAAGAATTGGAACTTTGCGCCTCGTTGTCAGGTGGAGGTTCAGGTGCTAAAGAACCTTCATTCACGGTCACTGGAAAAAAATTCAAATGTATCAGATTCGAGTCTCGTTCTAGGCCTAAACTAGTGCTCAACTGCGAACTGCATGGTGCAATTTTCGAATGAATAAAGTAATACCAGCACCACAGGAATCCGAACGGCCAGTTACAGCATTTTCTGACCAGGAAACTTGCACTGCTTCCTTAACCAATCTCCTTCCAAACCAAATACAATAAGATCTTGTCACTCCATTACTTCAGATCTCAAAGAATACATGAAGTTAATCATGATTACTTGCGAATTAGCATTTAACATTTAAACACAAATTTTATACGCCACAAAATTTATGTCAGGGTACTAATCCTGGGCAAACTTTTACGTGTACTTTATCTAGTTACGTCAGATATATCTACTGATAAAAAAAGTTGAGCAGTTTTGATGTGCTGGGGTAAATCTAACAACGATAGCGTTTTAGTTAGTTACCTTGCTCAGATGTAGAGTTTGTAGATTGTTGAGTATCCTGTGCTCCTTGTTCAGCAGCTCCACCGGATGATTGACCTAAACACAGGGTCACGTCGATTACATTACAAAGAAACGACAAGGAAATATGAGAATAAAATATTCACGGATAGTGTTTGGTCAAAACTCACGCAATCCTCAACCCACCTATCAAAACCAAAACAATCGCGACTTAACTGCACTAGACCGAAAAGCGCCCTAAGCATGAATACAATTCGTTGCAGAGCAGCCCTGGGGAATCCATAGACACAACAACTTACAACTTGAAGATTCCTGTCGAGACTCTGACTCCGTCGTTGTCCCTTCCCCACTTCTTGCCTGTGGATCGCCGCCGATAACTCTGTCTTTAGGAGCCACCGATGGAGCTGCCCCCGTACTCTGCTGATTCACCACACCAGATAACTTTTCCATGGGCTTTAGCAGGCAGTTAACTGTGGTCACAAAATTAGGGTTAGCCAGGTCTAAGCTGTGAGGAACTCGAGCTAAATCATTCACTAGACCTTTCTTGAGCAGCAACTTCATAACATTGTTGGGCTGCTGTGATGCTGTGTGTTGCGCAGCAGAGTGTGGGCCGTTCTCAATCATGGTCTGCACTAATGTGAAGATCGCTTGAAGTCTTGAGTGTTTCGTTGTAGACTCTGGTACGTTCAACGCCCGACTAAGAGACGCCTTCATCTCTGCTATGAGGGTCTGCTGTGCTTCGGGTGCCTGGTGGCAGGTAGCAATGGTAGCGAGGAGAGTGCGAGCGCACGATGGTGTGTCTTCGTTATCACTTGATGTTCCTGATGGGAGAAGGTGGTCCAGAACGAAGGCTAGCACCGATCCTTCGTACTATTGAAAAAAGGAAAAAAAAAAAAAAAAACAGTCAGCAAGTCAGGTAGTAATTCAATCGGTCAGTATAAATGTAGGCGAGTGGGTCTTTCATTCAGTCCGTCCGTCGATTAGTTGGTTGGTCAGTCGGTCACTACGTCAATCAATCAGTCAGGTGGTCACATAGTCAGTCAGTCAATCAGTTAGTCAGTCAGTCAGTCTGTAGGCAAGTCAGGATCTGACTCACTGTACAACATGACTCACCTCTGATGCTGAAGACAGCTTAGCATTGTGACTATAGTCTGTAATAAGTTGCGCTACTCCTGAGTAAGACTTTACCAGCTCTGCTAGCAGCTTTAAAATGGCTGACTTTGATAACAGAGGCTTGGATGTGGTCTGTACATCTTTGCTAGAATCCTTGTTTTCTTCCTTAGAGTTTTCCTCTTTCTTTTCTTCAACATTCAACAGTGAACCGCCTTGGCTGCTGTTCTGCGAGGAGTCTGCGTTTGAAACCACAAAGACTTAACTTAAACGACAGCTAGTTTAGGAAAAGCGGTGATGAAATGGTTAGCGTGCCAGAATCCGAATCGAAAAGTCCAGTTTAAAGGCCAAGCAAGGCCCATTGTGTCGTGCTTTACGATAAGACACTTTAATCTGTCACTGGCTCTCTCCACGCCTGACATCTGGACCCAGTTGTTCGAAGGCCGATTAGCGCTAACCCAGGCTTAAAATTTAATCCGGGTTTCTTTACTTCTTTCTTCAAAAATCCATTTTCCTTATTCATTTTGAAGCATCCAATTATCAAATTTCACACTAGCCTTGGGTTATCTTAAACCAGCTTTGAACGACCCAGCCCTGCTTTGTAGATTTGTCACTTCGACTTCCTCTGTAAAGTTTGTCCCAGAAAATCTAAGTAAGTCATTTCCCTGACCTGGCCATTTTGCATTCCATTGTAAGTGTGTCTCGAGAATTTGTTGCAATAATCCAAAGCACAATCCTACAATGATTGATTTTGATATTCTCTTCGCCTTACCGCTGAGCAATGTATTAAGTGAGCAAAGAGAAGACATGCATTGATCATTTCACGTACATGAGTCAAATCAAGGCACATAACTTACCAAGAGCCATTTCTTCGACTTCGACATCATCCCCGGTAAGCTGCCTTGTGTACGCTGGAAGCTGCCTAGCCGCCAGATTCTGTTGAGAACTCTGGGCTGCAAAGCGAGCGATCAGGTCTCCAACCTGCCCTAACGCACGCCCAAACTCTCCCAGCACTTGGCTGTCAGAGCGCGCCATTAGTACTCCCCTATTATCTATTGTCCTGGTTGTATTGTCCGACGCACATAACACATTCAACAAGTCATAGACGACGCAATGAACCTGCTTTGCCACCGGAGGTGGCTTTGAAGGTTTCGCAACGACAGCAGCTTTGACAATCTGGGCGTAATTCACGGGTAAGTTCGTGTCGCCGGCTTCAATCATTGTTCGGCGTAATTGCGGCGTTATAGCTAAACGAAGTGAGTTCGTGGCTACTTCTTTGAAAAGTCCAGCATTGCGACAAGTGGCAGGTCCTAGAACTCGTAAAACATAATTGATTTCCTTTGCTCCTGGTGAGCTTTGGCTGACGCCAGTGACTGGACTACTAACACTGCTCGAAGCGGAGGACCGCACAACTTTCTCCATGGCATGTTTCAAGTTTTCTTCGTCTTCCAGTACGTGTCGAAGAAGGAGAGTTGCCAGCGTACCAAATCCAGTTACTTGGGAGTCTTGTGTTAGTAAAAGCAGAGCTCTTGCTCCACCTTGATCAACGAACTGCACTGCGTATTTATGCTCTTGAGTGAGTCTGAGGCACAGTTTGAGAACTGCGTGTAAGGTGTTTGGTGATACAGGAATACCAATTAACCATGTACAGCACCTTAAATGGAAAAAAAAAAATTGTCTAAGTGCAGGCGAGTAAAGCTTAAAAGGGGTCCGAAATCTTGGTAAGGTTGGGTAGCCTGTACACTGATAAATCAATGCGCGAGTCAAAGTTTGTCCTCGAGGTGACCTCGAGGACAAACGAGGAGAACATACCTCTCTCGTGTTTCTTCCTGGCAGTTGTCTTTGCTCGAGCTCGCCGCTTTTCATTTTCCGGCAAAGCGACTTTTTTGTTAGGTCACTAGCAGCTCATTTGAACACGACGAAAGAGCTGTTGATTTAGATCTTTCAAAAGACTGAATCAGATTATCAATCTTTAACATACCTTATTATAAGAGCTTTTTGGTCATCTGTCAAATGTTTCATACACTATCCCTCGGCCTTGTAAGGTTTACATTTATCTGAAAAATAATGATCAAAGAACGTCAGCTTACTTGCTTCATCCCCATGGGGCGCGTTTAGATTACATAACTCTTTGACTACCAAGATCTAGCCCCTACACATTTCCTTGTAAACTAGTTACGAGAATTTGGTGTTAGATCAACATAGCAACTTGTGCCAGATAAGTAAGAGTATTCTCATTACCTGTTTATTGGACAATGTATGGATATTATAGGGAGGTAACATGTTAATCACTTCTAGGAGTTTGAGGTTAACATGCAGACGGCCACCGAAAGGATAGGCTCGATTTCCAAAGTTTTCTCGGGTCTAGTCTGTGAACCTTCCGAGAAATACCGCGGTTGTTGATAGAGCCTACCAGAAGCGCAATGTAACAGCTTCTAATGCGCTTTTAAATATAGAGGATCTCTAGTGAAGGCGCCAAGGAAAAGAACGCAGCGGTGCGCTACGCGTTAAAGAGCTCCCTAACCTTAAAGCATGCAATTTACGTTCATGGCGGGAAAACACACGTCACCAAGTCGCCCCTATTTTTTCATCTTGCATCTGATTGGTTGAGACGAAGGTGCATGTTTCCTAGACTAATCAGAAGGCGAAGTACTGGGAAACTGCCTCAGTTTCTTACCTGAACTACTCTTTTCTTGTTTGTCTTTCTTCGCTTTCTTGCTTCCCTTTTCCTGTAAGTTGGTCGGAGGAGCTTCAGTACTTCCCTTAGGACCATCAGTGATCCTGCTGTTTGAAGAGCTCTCCGCCTCACCTTTGCCGCTTCCTGAACCACCATTGCCTGGATTAGTGACTGCTTCCAGCATTATTGGACGTCTATTACCAGAGTCTTCATTGACCTACGGTCACAAAATTGAAAAATAATGCAATATCTCCACCAAAAATCAAACTTTGACCTAAGGAAAAGTGAATCTTTTAGTAACAAAAACCGTGGTTCGAATGGCAAGTCATAAAGTTTTCCGTCAAGTTATTGGCGGCCTAAATTTGTTCTCAATTCACTGTTGATGACCTGTGTGGTATGGTGAAAACCCCAACCACACATGGATACCATTTTCCGCACATCTCTAACCACTGACAAGAGCAACGGGTTTCGCTGTGAAAGACGCACTCATAACATATTGAGGACTAAGAAGCACTTTCTCCCTCTGATTTCCAAAAATGAGAATCTTATTACAAATACTTGGCTGACAACTTTTTGTAGTTAAAAAATTTCATTTGAAATTAAGACATTTTTTAAAATCATTCCTATGAGCGCAGAAAGCGAAAGGGGAATACTGATCGCATTGTTTGAGCTATCACATAGAATAATATTGACGAAACAAAGAAAAGTTACTCTAGCCACGCGTATCACATAGTAAAATGACTCAAGATTGCACTCAAAGAAAGAAATTCTCACCTGAACCATTGTGGAAAAGTTCACCAAATAACGCCGTCTTCCTGCCATGAACCTGGAAAACCAAAGAATCTTTGACCTAATTTGTAACTAAAATCAAGAAGAACACTACAAAGTCTTCAGTCTTCAATTCAACGGTTCAAACTTAAGATTCTCCCAACGGATTCACAAGGTATCTTATTGATGAAAGTTCAGAGAATTTGGCGTTTGATCAGCGCTTACCTGACCCGCGAATCGCCATTTCTGTAAGCTGCATCGATAGTTGTGTTGTTGTTAACGTTGTAGTTGTACCAGCGACCACTGCGGTCATCAAACCATTTCCAGGCGTGCGTCGTACACTTGGAAGGTTAAAAAATATTGAAAAGAAATTTAATAAATAGAATTCGTTCTGTTCGGTAAGAAAATCATAATCATAAACCATAGATATAAACATTGAGATACAATGAAATATATGAAGTTCATATATCTACTGCGAGGATCGTGCATCATATGTAGATATAAACATTGTTAATTACGGCGAGGCACTGTTAATAAATAAGAAGGGAACCAGTATTTTTACCTTATCATGAAGTTGTTTCCGCTTGGTAGTGACTGCCATCTTTTCATGGGTATCCAACAAAAGAAGCAGTGGAGATAACCAACTGGATAGTAGGAAACAAAAAATAAATAAGTAAATAAATAAAATAAAAATAACGGTATGTGCTTATTATGAACCACATACTACAAAACTAGCCCCAGGACACAGTTCCACATGTGATAAGGCATCTTCACAACTTTCTCTCAAACTCTAGCTGCTACACAATTCCTTGTAAATTAGTTTCGAGAATTGGTTCCTAGATCAAGACAACAACTTCTACCTGATACGTTTTAGTCTTCTCATTACCTGTTTGTTGGATAAAGTACGGATATCATCGGAAAGGTTACACGTTAATCTCTTCTCCGGTAAGTTAGAGGGTTAGGGCTAAAAATCTATCCAACACTTGTAGGTCCGTCTTTTAAAATCCTAGTCGTTCTTTTCCATAAATATACCTTCGCTCCTCTCCGTGGTTGATTTCAACTTCTTCGATGCCTATCAACTGCAAACTATGGTTAAAGAGAACACGACGATGTTGCCAAAAAGACTTAAAATTGTTCGGAAGTAGCTCTCCTTAGGAGCCTTAAATCAGTACAAACAACAACAATAACAACAACGACACCGGCAAGAATCCTGTATGCTTCCAACTATTCTTGGAAGCCGCTTGAAGAGTACTCACATTGGTGTAGACGGAGTGCTTCCTGATTTGTGCTTGATTTGTACAAGATTAGCCTGGCATAATTCAAGTAGCTCTAGTAATGGATTCACAATCCCATGTGCCTCAACGATGGCTTCACAGCGAAATTTCTTTTCCTGAAAACAGACGCAACAGGAAACTTTCATTTCATCGCATACGAGTTATTACACGTGTGGTAACGTGTAAGCTTAATGGGATTAATGTCTTAATGTCAGTATCTGATCATCTGCACATCTACCCCACTCCCCCGAACACAAACATTAACCCTAACCTACCCCTCCCTAACCCTAAGTGTACAGTTGTTCAGATAGGAACAATGATCTGCTTAATGGTATCAGTGGCTGGTACTTGAACGCTTGAACCAGACAAAACTTTTATCAAATTTCTAACAATACTCACCTCAAATAGCAGGCACAAGAGATGCAGAAGAGACGACAAACGAGCTGATTCGGACATGCTGCTCATCTTGGACATACTTTCCTCGAGCTGTTTGCCATCAGCACCTTGGTTAGTGCAGGATTTTAACACAGTTCCAATGTCTGCTGTGAGCTGAAAAAAAGTGAACATAATACATGGTACTAAAGTTAAAAACCCTCAGACGAAACAACTCACGGCTAGAGAATCCGATGGGAACAAAAGAAAATAAAGGAACATTAACTTGCCAATCAAAGAAAAAGTATGCTAGAAGGAACGCGCTTGTAGATTGAAAACATTCAGGATGATAAATAGAAGATCATTCATAAGGGGCGAATCCAGAGATTTTTTATAAGGAGGAGATCATACTTAGATGCAGAACAAACAGATTTTTTTTATTTACATTAGCGCCTAACAAGCTGTAAAATACTGCAAGATAAGTATGTCTTAAATACTTCAATCTGAAAAGTAATCTAACAATTCTGTCGTTGTGGGAATTGTGCTTTCACACTAGTAGTAAAATTACACACGGGTATGACAGGAGAGGGGTCTGGATCCTTCCTCCGATCCGCCACTGTTCTCAGAGCCGTCTATAGACCACTCATCAAAATTCTCTAATACGCCCCGTTCATGGGAAGGTGTTCGATACAAGACCAAGTATGTGTAAAATTAAAGGTATGCAAAGAAGAAAACAAAACCCTCAGTGACTTAAGATAGACCGCTAACTCTCCTTCCCAATCGCCTTGTTTTACCTTGGAAAACATCGCAAGAAGTTGATCTTACATCAAAAGTCACTTGGGGCTTCATTTTAATCCGTACAGGGAGGTGTTGTTACTGTGTGACATTAACAGTGCTGCACTGAAGTACTGTTCAAATACCTGCTTTAGTATGTGCATCATAGTCCTCTCTTTCCACTCTTTGCCATTCCGTTGAGCCACAGCAGACAGAACATCGCAAGCTTTGAACACAGTTCCAGGCATTCCCGTTAACACCTCCAAACACCCCTGCAGCATGTCAGCGGTAAACTGATCCAGGACTGTCTTATCTAAAGGAACAGCAACGTCACTGTCTTCATTCTCTTTATCTTCTTCCTTAACCTCTTTGGTTTCTTCCTTCGTCTCTGGCTTAGAGGTTGTAGCATCATCAGCGGTTGTGGTGGAAGGCGCAGCAGCTGTACCAGCAGTAGCAGCAACTGCAGCAGCAACTGCAGCAGCAGCAGCAGGACCACGACTCGCAGACTAGAATAAAAAATGGGGAAGGGTCAAAACTACCCATTGGCAAACGAATAAATCCGAGGATTGGGGGGGGGGGGGGGGGGCGTAGATCAAAAGGGATGAGTTCTAGTCCTGGCCGGAATCTTTGCGTTTGACCCCCATCTCCCCCTCCCCCTTCACCCGAACACTTCATTCTCATAATGCCTCGCTGAGCCCAGGACGGAAGAGTAGAGATGGAAACCTGACGAAAGGGCAAGTGACCGCACAAAACTATCGTCTAATCCAGGAGAGGTAGTAATACTCCTAAGTTGGCTCATGTCACAAAACTGGTATAAAATACGGCGGCTGTCCGATTCAGTCTTTTACGTTGACTTTTCGTTTTTTTTTTTTTTTTAATCACCACCCAGCTAAGAGATACACATAAAATTCTTATCGCAAAATCATTGTTGGAAGACAGTGTGAGGATAAAGATAATGTGCCAGCTTAGTCCAGGATAAACTTGCATAGTAGTATCACAAGCAATCCAACGATGCAAAATAACTGGTCTATCACTTTTGCATTGATTTTACGAACAACTCCACAATAAAACATGGAGCTGCAGATACCGACAATGCTATTACAGAGAGGAACGAAACGTTAGCTTAAGTCATAAAGCTTCTTAACAAACTATTGTGCTCCCTGATAAGCCAGTGAGACATTCAAATGTTTAGAGCTTCGTGTGAAGGGAAACGAAGAGCTAACACTTGAGTGTTTGAAGCACCGACGCTTGCTCCTTGCAAGAAGAAATTCCTTCTTGGTCAAGTCTTGTCGCTAAGCACCGACTACTGCCGAGGTTCGCCGGTTAAGAAAAAAAGTAATCACTAGCCATCACTTGATAAAGGGAAACGAACTGTTTTTTAGTGCTGCACGGACAATCAGTCTGAAATCGAAACCTATCTTTTCAACTCCTGACTAGCTCGAGTATTGATGCAACCATAACAAGTTAGAGAGTTGAAATAAAATCTTGTTCAGAACGACCGTTTACCATGTCCTCTATTCATGCATTTAGTAAACGTGAAGCTTGGCAGCCTCACCGCAAAGGAATCGCAAAAAAGTTGGGGACTAAATCTTATGATCAGATTTCCCTCAGAGCGATTTGAGTTCTAATCTTAATCAGCTGGCTATTTCTTAGCTACATCCCACTGTGGAGATGTAAGACCTGTTAGGTCTTAGCTAAATCGTCACTTCACTTATCCTGATAACATACCGCATCTTCAGCAGAAGCGTTGGCATTAGTTATGTCCTGTCCCAGAGACATGGCTATCGCCCTCATCATTTGATCTTCCTCCAGCATGTCATAGTCCAAACCAAGCTCCTGTAGAGAGACAAATTACATTCAGTCATTTCAAGGGATTGCGCCACATTTACTACAAATCTAGAAAATTTTAACGTTCAACTTTCAAGTTTGTCTTTCGCAATTCGCTCCACCTTCTCCGTCTTTCAAAATTCTTGATACTTCTTGTTTTATCATTGCTTCTTTTAATTTTTTTCTTTCGAGAGAGCAAATTTCCAAATTTATTATTATTTTTTTTTTAAATTGAATACTAGCTTCTAGAATTTTCACAAAATTCATTTCAAATAAAGGAACACTTGCAAAGCCATTACTTTTTGGCCTCCTTTTTTTGGCCTCCTTTAAGTTAAGACAGTTTTGCACTGCACGAAACATGACTCAAACGACGATAATACGCAGTTTGCAGTCGAGTATCAAAAGCAATCCGGGATTACGTTGCTTGCTCTTTCCCACGTTCGTTGAGGGGTCTTAAAAACTCCGCCACAATTTTAACCAAACGGAAGTAAAACCAGTAACCAGCCTCGACTTGGTCACTCACATTTTGCCGCCATTTTAGGTTTTCCTCCGTGTACTTTAAGCTTTCATAGGCTCCTGGGATATTTCTCTCACGTTCGTTGATTAGTCTTAAAACACTCGAGCCACAATCTCAACCAATCAGAAGCAAAAGCAGTAATCAGTAACCAGCCGCGACTAAGATGCTCATATTTTGGCGCCATTTTAGGTTTTCCTGAGTTCTCATTGGCTCCTGGGATATTTTCCTTCGCCATGATTGGCCGTTTAGATAGCTTTGGATTTGGTTTAACAACACTTAGTCAAAATGTGCTCATACTCGACACAGCAGCGCCCAGTCATGTGAACGATCAATAAGACAGCTCATGATACGTACCCTTGCTGGAGGAGGTGGTGGATGAGTCAGGATATAATCCGTAGCCTCCTCAAGGCTACCTGTACTCATCAGCGCTAGTCTGGCATGTTCATGTGTGAACCCCATGTCTATGAACTAGAAAATCATGCCCTTGTTATTAAATCACGATAGAACTGCAAAGGACTTTAGAAAAAATACGTTAAGCTCATTGGATAGGAACACTGAGCCCGTCAGTACACATTCAAGCATTGTTCCATTATCAGCAAACATTTCCTTATTGACATCCACGCAAAAATCAGCCTCAGATAAACACTGTCCAGGTGACCTTAGAAAGATACGTAGTGAGCAAGATAATGTGTAATTCTACAAATGAAATTGGTCGCGATCATCTCACGAATGAACAATAACACGAGTTTTTCTGCTCGTAGTGAACCCGATCCTAGCGACTTTGACAACCCCGTCCCCCCTGACTTACGTTCCGCTTTGTTTTGTGTGGTTGTTAAGCGCTGAATGATGACAAGGGGGGGGAGGCTATTGCTAGGAAGGGGTGGTGAGTTTGTATTCAATACAGACTTGAAAATGGTTATGCATGCTTTTTCGTCCCAAAGTTTAGGGAAGAAGTTAAAAACCAAGAAAGTGAATGCAAGCACACCTGCTGCAGATGTCGTACGTTAATCTCCGGCTGAGGCCGAGCTGGTTCAGCAGGCTGTCGTGCTGCAGTAGAAGACGCAGCAGCGCTACTGGAAGCTGAAGAGCTTTCGGGTGTAGGCCCAAGCTTCTCTTTAATGACAGCCTCCCCCTTGATGATGTGGTAAAAAATGGCTAACAAGGCCTCTGCCATATGTGGACCATACTCCTCAGGAAATTTCTGTCCCCATAGCTGTTGTACGGCGGAGAATGCTTTCTGCAAAGACAATATACATTGACATTGAACTTATGTATTATGTAAGTGTCAGCAAACATTCTTGTCGTAAGAGATGCGAACTCAATCGCGCATACGGACCTAAAAACTCGGGTCATCCATCCCAAGAGAGACCAAGACAGAATTTTTCCTTACAATATCAGTACCATGTCAAGCTGACAAGTGATGAGAATACACAAAAATATAAATTGGGGAATTACTAGTTGATCCAGTACTACATTCTCCGAAGTAGCATCGTAAGATTTGTATTGCAGACAGAAAAGAGAATTACTACTGAGATCTTGGGAGGAAAGGATTAATGTTACTCTCAGATAATTCCCATTTCCAGACATTCTCAGAGACCCAGGAGCAATTAATGATGCGAGATAACTTGTAAAAATTTTGTATTTTGCCAAGACCGCCGTTTTGTCTTCGTTTCGTCTCGCCTGATAATTTGCCCCCACATCTCCAAAGATCATTTCTTCTTTTCTTCAGCTTCACATTTTTCAGTTCTCCCGATGCCCGTCCTTGGAGCCTTACCTTTTGAGTTTTGACGAGGAATTCAATCGGTTTAAAAGGCACAAAAAACAGCGCAGTGGACGTAGCAGGAAGGCTGTGCGGGGAATTCAACAAGGTTTCCGAGTTCACAAGTCTACTGACTAGAGTTAACCATGAATCTAACAGCTCCTGAGCACCAGCTTAAAAAAAAAAAATTCATATTGGTTAAAAAACTGTCAACCACTACTTAATATTCCCCAAAGTGTCCTGTCACGTCTTTGTCATGGAGCTTCGAGCCCAGTACGGGAAAGATGAGAACAAGTATGTTAAAAGATCGTGTTTCCCAGTCCGTGACACAGGTATACTTGAGGAAATGAAAATTCTGACTGCATGCAACATTTGTCGAACTTAATCTCCAATTATAAGCTTGGATACGCTACGACTCAATCCAGGCCCTTATTATTAGCGCTGCAGGTCGCGCTTTTTTCCGCCCGCCGGAAGATTTGAGACGAGTCGGGAAGAGGTTTGCAGTGGGTCCCAGACCTCTCGCGGGCACGAGTTGTTCAAGGCCTTATACATTTCAGCGGACAAAGAAACGCTCGTCCCGAAGAGCTTATAACGAGGGTGTGCTCGCAGGCTACGCCTCAGTTACTACAGTACTCTGTGTCTACAACGAGCCTCTAAGATGATTCAGTTACTTTTAGTCGCAAAACAATTCCAGCCTCACCTTGAAGAGTTTCAGTCTCACTTTCACCAGGAGGAGCATTGCTATTCTCCTTAAGTATTAGCTTCAGCAATCTGTAAAAAAAAAAAAAAAAACAGAGAAACAAAGTGAACATCAGAGGTGTATTTTATGGCCAGCGCGCACTGTTTTTCAAAAACATAAACAATGTAGATAATATTGCCATATGAGGGCTGTGCGCAATGGCGCAAGCGAGAAAGAAACATGCCACAGCGCGAAAGTCATGATAAGAAAAAAAAAATTCGAAAGGAAGAAAGAGAAAAGAGCTGCTATGCATGCTATGATGGAGTTAGGTCGGGCCGGACAGGAATGGCATTCACTCTAGGTCACGATGCGCTGAGTTTGCTGCGGTGGCGCTCGCTGTATGTCGTGACTTCCAACCAAATGATTTCCTGCACAACTCTACCTGTCAGTCATTAAGTACAGATGATAATCAAGCTTAATGCTGGCATCTCATTTGCTGACTCGAATGCACTAATGGCTTATAACTCAAATCATCCATGTATTACTCGTGACTATTCGTGTGTAAGCACACCCCCCCCATCTTAAACTAAATTTCAAACAAGCATCCTGAGCGATTACTCGCGCATTTATGGTCGATCATTTCAAAAGCTATTTCTTACGAGAAAAGGCTGCTGTGTGCCCCAGACTTATCAAATTGTTGCAACATCAGATGGTAAGGGTTCTTCTTTTCATCAAACAGAAGACGTGAAGCAGAGCCGACTATACACATATAGAAGTGCAACCTGGAAGAAAACAAACATCATAATCGTCAAAAAAAAAAAAAACCATCATTTGGAAAGGCAAAGACGTATTAACCCTATCACCCCCGCCTAGATACAGAGATAGATAGATAGTTTATTACCAAATAAAATACATTGCAGCCATAGGCTGAATTGCGTACTTTTCACAATCATTGATTATAGAAGACTATATAAGACTACCAATTAGAAAAAAATGCTAAGACCTAAATAAAATTACTAATATAACTAATATAACTAATATACAGCAGTGGAATAGCTAAAAATCTAGGTTAGCACACGCGCACATAGCCGGGATAAATGAAGATTTTAAACCGAGTGACCAGCATCTAATTTCTCCTTACAATATCACCTCTGAGTCAGACTTGAAGGTCACGAGAATATGGGAAATGATCACCAACTCAACACGCTCTTGATTGGTTAACAAATTCTCCTTGTCAACAGCTTGGGAAATGTATAGAGAACAGTATGGAGAATATGCAAATGACGTTAGGGGGTAAAGTGTTAAGTCTGTACTTAGCCAAGTGGCACTTCCAGCCCAAGCTTATCTCGGTTTCCTCAGCATGAAGCGACTAAGAGTATCAACACCCTCCCTTGGATGGGATGCCTGTCAATAGCCCATTTCCGAATTACCCTTGGCCTCATTTTCAAAACGAGTCTTAGTGCTCATCCTTTCATATGATAATAAGTTTTCATTCACATACAAATTAAACTCATTTTCACAATGGTTGAGCACCAGGCCTCGTTTTGAAAAAGACGCCTAGGGTAATTCGGACATGAGCTATTGCAAGGTTTCTCCCACCCCAGCATTCCATCTAGCTTTCCTGACAATTCGCAGGTTCCCATTTACACCCTATTGGAAAAAACTTGGGTAACAGGAAATTTTTAGTTTGCCTTTAAAGCGTAATGGTTTCAATAGACTTGTTAGTTTTTAGACGCAATTGAAAAATTTTCTGCCAGAGCTACTTCGCCCCATTTGGTAAGCTTAATCTGCAGTTTCGTTTGTTCACATTTTGAACCCAATAAACTCTTAAAATTTGTTTCCTCTCTAAGCCAATCAAGTCGCGAGATTTACACTGAAGCACAAGCGCAGACATAGACACAAAACAGTTACCTTGGCTTGAGCGCTGGCATGTCACTGGGAAATCCTTGCCAGGACATAGCATCCTTTAAAAGTTTGCTAAGCTCCAGAGCAACAAGGCAGGCTGGTGGGGTTGGCATTGCTGTGTGTGGAACTCGACGCTGCATCCGCTGTGCAGATCCAACGCAGAGCTTTACAAGCAGGACAAACAGGTCCGACAAAGCACGACCCAGAGCAGTTGATGTCTGAAGGAGTTGTTTTATTATTCTTTGCTGTACAGGAAGAAGATTCGACTTTGCGGTGTTGGCTTCACCACTTGTTAGCTTGTCGTTTGTAACTGTCATCGCTGGACTGCCTTCCGAGGTTTGCCCTGAAAATTATATAAACAAAAAGTAAGTTTGAAGCTAAAACACTGCCCAGTAGACTAGAGGTCATTACGTTTTGTATTCAGGCAAGTTGATGTCTTCAAATCGACAATGGAAAAGTACTGGAGTATCAAATAAAGCACGTTGTCTTGATGTAACACCAAATTCTCCTAACAAAATTTAATTTAATTGCCAATTTAATTGGCAACGAAATATGTAGAAGTAAGAAGGGAGAATCAAGACCTAAATACAAGGACAACTACAATGTTGTCCAAGCGTAAACATTTTTTTTTACCTGAAGGTTCTTCCTGACTTGCTGAGGTTGACGCTTTGAGCATCTCCAGATCTTTGTCAAAAACATTTGTTTCATCGGATGAGGTGTCTGATCGGCTGGCAGTTTCCAAGACAATCGTTTCCCAGATGAGAAACATGTATAACTGACCGAGTCGCTTGAGAACAGCGATACCTTCATCAGAGCCCCAGTGATTGATACACAAAGTACGGATTTCAAACTGAAACCAAAATTAAAATCCTATCAGTAACACTTAATGGGATGAACATAACCAATGAACTATGGTCTACCTTGTAATAACAAAAAATTATGTACTTTAAAGTCTTTATAAACCAAAAAAATAATACGCTGATTAGCATTTCTTACTTAAAACTCATTCCATCACACTGACGATTTTGATTCAACCAGCAATCATTCAAAATAACACGACCATGTAGCTCAGCTTTCAAGAAGTCTTTCAAAAGCTGATAAGATGCGTTTAAACCTTTTACCTTTTAACCCCTAAGATCTGATTGTCCAGTTCTTCTCATGTTAGACAAAGCACTTTCAACATGTTTTGTTAACTCACTTATTTTTTTCGAATGCCGTTTCTATTTTCTCCTGTAGAGTTTAAACATCTCCTAGAACACTTCAAATACACTTAACAGCTAACAACCAGCCTCCTTACCTGACCAACTTTACAAACATGAAGGAACATACTGATGTGTGCATGAGCTGCTGCTATTCCGTGTAAAAGTGGAGTCAACTGTACGGATGCCATGGCTTGTTGTGGTCGACCTGAACAGGCTACTTCATGCAGCAGAATGGATACTGGTGATTGGTCTGATCTTACAATCAGAGGCTCCAAAGAACTGAGGACGTCACTGAGTAGAGTCAGTCCTTGTTTCAACACTTGAGATTCATGTGATAACATCTGAGAGATAGGGATATATTCAGTGTAATGCCAAAAATTAATAGATGTTTTTTCTCGTTGCTATGTTCCCACCAATAACGTAGCTCCATTTTCTGCCTTTAAAAGCACACACAACCCACAATTCCTATATTTGCTCCGACGAAGGGCTAACGCTCGAAACGTCAAGCTTTTGTAATCGTTACGGTGGCCAAGTTACCATTTCAACTTTGTTGATACATCCAAATTATTTCGTTACCCCCACCGACGCAACCCCAAACAGTTTCTTTAGAAACTAACAGCCTTTATAGAGTATATAATCAGCAGCTAACCTCAATTAACGAAAACAACGAATCACAAGAGAGAAGAGGAGCAAGGAACGAGCATCCTTTTTTTCTCCTCTCTTGATATCTGTACCGTTAAACAATTCTGCCTTGGACAAGACATTTCCTCTTCTTCATCTTTCATATTTTCCTAATCTAAATTATGTTTATTGGGTGTGCAGTTACCATTGGGTTCGCGAGCATGTAGTTACTGCTACTATGAGTTTCTCCTCTTGGTGACCGCCAAAACAATTAAAACTGTTTTGGAGATGAAAATAATTTTCTGTCTCGGGTCAATTTGGGTTCAAATTCCAGTTGGCTCCTAAGTTGTCTCATGTAGCAATTTTTTTAATTTCCGATGAAAGAAATGAGAATGTGTCACAAATTTGATGAAGATTTTCCTCCTTTTTTTCCTCAAGTTACAATTTTCTAGCTAGTGTTTGTTAAAGAAGGATTTGTTCAGATACCACTCGTTTTCCCGCCCTTTTGTGGTTTTATCGCTAAGGAACGCGGGCTTCAGAACTCTTTTTTTCTATGGCAGCCATTTTGGTTTTGTTATGTTTTGAGCTCGACATAAATTACTTTATTTGACACCTTCTTCCTGCTTATTTAACTGTTCTGGTATTGAGAACAGTGTTTTCATTAACTTTTAGCAATGGAGTACCAACTGGCACTGTTCAATCATTTTAAGATTGTTAGTCCCTGGTCCAAATTTTATCCTACTAAATAGGCCCTTTTACAGTTGTGTACTTAGTTGCCAAGCCTTTGATTCAGAGTGAGGCTGAAGGTGACCTCGATGTGATAGAGACCTGTATCTAGTTAGCATGATAACAAAGTGATTTACGATTTTCAGTGGTTCGAGTCCCGTACAGCGCTGATTATTTTCAGGTCTGATTTTCGCTATTGCATAAATAGCGCTATCTACTGCGAGGACCGCACATCACACGTAAGTGATTTACATTTGAAAGGCAGCAAGGTTTGTATCATAACAAGGTCAACCCCAGCCTCTTTCCCATTCAAAGGCTTGGCAACCAAGCACACAACTGTAAAATGGACTATTCCACCTTTAAACTGACATAAAACTGAGAAAGTTGATTCTTACCAAGATAGATTTGCACACGCCTGAGACAGATTGACAGGCAGGAGATGTCACAAAGTCCAGTGGCAGGTTTGGCAGACCAAGGATGTTAATCAAGGGATCTAGACCTCCAAGACGAACAAACTCTCTGCAGTGATCGTCTGTTGAATTGTTGCTAAGGATTGAGTCCACAAATCTAACCTGGAAAAAATTACAACATTCCCCAATTTAAGTACAATCTACTAGGCAAAACAATCCCCTTTAAAAAAAAAAAAACTGATCAAATTGCAACCTTTCCACATACTATCGCAACCTCTTAAAAAAGATCAGCAGTTGGAATAGACAAAAACTTTTATCTAAAAGCTGTGTTCTTGAAAAATGCAAAAACTTTATTGATGTGAGTTTTTTTCCCATGTATTTTCAATGAGTTTTTACATACCACATTCAGAATATAGTCAATAAGTGGAATGAATGTTCGTTTCTCTTCTTCTGTATTCCTTCAAAACAAAACAAGTGAGAGTAAATGCATTTCAGTGGTGTTCTCATAGGTAATTAGAGAGCAGTACAGTATTTACTTTGATCTGTGATGGATCAAACAAAGTTTTACCACTTACCAATCCGATGAACAACTCACACCAATCACAACTTACCAAGCTTAACATTCACCATCTTTGGTATTCTACATGCATTTTAACTGACAAAGCTTTCAATGTTGCTGATCCTGGCAGTAGGACTGCCCACCACAACTCACATATAAACCTGGTACTGGCCTAGCTCACTACAGTCCCTCTGTGGTGGCTAAGTCCCTCTAATGTGGGTGAGAAATTCATAGGTCTAAAGTGTGCTACCTCATGGGGACTCAGATTCTTTCAAAATGGGGACTCATAGAAATGGAGACCTATACAAAACATCTTACAAAACATCTTACAAAACTCTTACAAAACATCTTTCCACTGTTTTCATCAATGTGAAGCAATGAGCTTAGAGATTGAAAACATAGTATAGTCAAACCTAGATTATCCAGACTCATGGGGACTGGGCTTTATGATCTGGATAATCAAGAGTCTGGATAATCAAAGGTAATCCTAGATAATAATAATCCCATTAACCAAGATAATGGGACCAGAGAAGCAAGCCCAGATTATCGAAAAAATTCAGATAATTGAGTTTCTGATGATCAAATTTTGGATAATCAAGGTTTGACTGTGTTATGATGTCATACTTTGAGTTCTCCTTGAACTTATCAGTCTCCGCGACAACTTTTGCAGTACTGGTGGTGCTTGTGAAGCTGAATCGATCTTCATCATCTTCCTCCTCATCTGACATAGGCTCCTCATTCACTACTGACACACGCCCAGTGCCCTGTCCTAATGTACTACTGTTGTCTGTATCACTACCATCAGGCTTAGCACCCATTTTAAAGCCAATGTATTTGGGATCTTTGCCAAGACTACAAACCTCTTGCAACAGCTGAAAGGAAAAAATAGATGCCAAAAATTATCCATCAAGGTTTCTATTTTATTTTGACACATGTAGACCTCTTTTTAAGGCAGGCCAAAATGCCATTCTTTTGCATTCAAGTACATCAGCCTTTCTGACATCGGTGGCATGTTTAAAAATGTACCACTATAAAATTTCCATGCAAAAGCCATGCTGAGAAGGCTTATTTGCATGGACGTAAAAGAAAAATTCAGGGGTTTCATTAAGGGCCAGGCACCGGGCAAATTGGCCGGTTGTGAGGACGGTTTTGCCCACCTGATTTGATGGTCTGGAGGAAAGTTTATCTAGTAAAGAAGTTCAGTTCAAAGAGTTTTGCCCGCCTGTGAAAACCAGTTGCCCTCCTGCAGAAAACATTAATGAAGCCCCTGAAAATTATCATGTCAGCCATTGTGAAAGAGGTCTCAGGGCAAAGCTCATCCAAATTGTATTCTTTAGAGTATTATCAGGATACTAAAGAGTAAAAGAACTGGTGAAGCTTATCTAAACTATTCCAATTTTCCGAGGATTTTAGTGGTCATACTGCCTCAAATTTTCCCAAAGAAAGGCAAAAAAAATTGGAAGAGAGAAAGCCCAGACTACTTGAGATGTCCTGGACACACAACACTAACATACACGTATCTCCCAGAGAAAAAAAAAAAAATGAAGGTACCTTAATGATGGCCATCATGGCATCTGTTTTTAGAGTTGGTTGGTGTCTCATTAGTTCATCCATTGCTGTCCCAAGGTTGGAGGCAGTTTCACCTGCAAGGGGTAAAACATGAAAAATCACTGGTGACTGTAAGACGTACAAGCTAATAAAGAAATTGTCAAAGAAGCCAGCAACCGGCAAAACTTGCTGTTTATGTCAAGCAAAATTTCTACCCATTATTTCCTCTGAAATTAACACTGTTAGAATAAGGATAGAGTTTCCATCAGCC